ATCTTTGCTTAGATGTATTTCACATAAAACAATTATCATTTACATTCTTTAGAAAATGGAGACAAAAAGGAGACTTATATATGACATCAGAAAAAGAAATTGTAGGATACATAATGAGGAAAGAGGGCATGGAAAATTTGACATTCACAAGATATACTGAAGGCAAGATGTACAGAGGTGTGTAAATGATTGGCAGAACAGGGATTGAGAAATATAGGAAAACTACAAAGTTTACTAAGGACTAAAAAGGACAGGAAATTGTGGAGAGCCATGAACACCCCATCCTGAAGGGACGGCACATAGAAGAACTTTTACTAACAATTATTTTAGTTCATGATAATAATCCTCATTAAATTTCTTAAATAATTTCCCATATTTTTCAAGCTTTGTTGATCTTGATGTCTTGTATTCTAAGTAAATAATTTCTATTTGAATGTACTGAATATCTTAGTCTTCCTTTCTTGGCCCTTTTAATAATGTCCATTCTTTTTGCTATGAATAAAAAATATTTTTTGAATAATTCTTATCCTCTTTAATTCATTTCATAATTACTGACAAATTTTTATTTAGTAACAATCTCATAAAATCATTAACTTCTAAAATATACTAGAATTTAATGTATTGTAAATGCATGTACACAAATTTTAAACATTTTAAAATTGCTATGAAAAATATAACAAAAAATACAGTTCAAATTTTTTATTAAATATGTGTCAATTGATGAAGCTTAAAATAAATTCTTGGAAGGCTAAAGATTGATTCTACCATGTGAGTATTTTAGTATGTGTATATGAATAAAAAATATCAAAAAGTCATAATTTCTTTGAAGATGTATTCCTAAATATTTGTTCAATATTTGATGCTTTTGTGCTTTTAAAGTTTTTCCTGCAATGCAATCTAATTGCTCAGAATGAAAGTCAAATTGGTAATGATTGCCAAAGTTGAAAATTTTGACCTAGAATCATACCCAGTTAAAATTAACTGAATATTAAGTTGCAAGTATTAAAATAAACTTTACTGAAAAATCAGGATATTTTTTTAGTTTAGTTTAATATAGAGAATAAGTCAAAGTGCTTTGATCAGACTAGATAACTTTATTGCAATCCAAGTTATTGATTGTCAATAAAGTCTTAATTGTTGCATAAGATGAAACATGCTATTCTATTGCTATTTTCATAGTAAATGTTCAGACAAGCTACATTCCTTAGTTCTACTAGTTCAGACCTTCACAACAATGACCTACCAGGATCAACTCATCCTCATTCCTTTCATATTCCATTGGTAAGAAGGAACTGCCACTCAAGCAGCTTTTTTCCTCAGAACCGTTACATTGTGGAATAGACTCCTAAGAAGATTCTTCCTCAATCACTATGATCTTAACTTCTTCAAGTCTAAGGTCAACCATTATCTATGCTGCATATCCTCATAATATACACTTCTTACTTGCTTACTTTATACCCTTACAGTAACCCTCTACCTTGAATGGCTCTTGAGCCTTGAATTGGGTGAATAATAGTATAAATAATAATATTTCAATTACATCAAAATTTTTAAAATATTAGAATATTAAATTCACTTTCTATATTTAATATAGATTTTAAAAAAATCATTGTTGAGCTTTCCATGATTAATGATATTTATTAAGCTTAGCTTAGTTTGGTACAGGGCCAAGATAGAGTAATTGGTATAATAAGATTGGTTTCACACAATCTTTCACTTGGGGATGGCCTACCAGGTTTGAAATTCTGTATTTGGGATTCAGACTTACCTGGGCTCAAAACCTGACCTCTAGCAACTTGGAAATATACAACTATCTAATGCATCAGATGAATATTAATTTCAATTATTTAAAAAGAGATAGTAATGTTTATGTGAATGAAGGAATAAAGAAGTGATTTGGTATTGAGTTTCTGATATAAATACGAGTTATATTTTTTAAAATAAACATTTGATTTTATTGTTAATGGGTGAATGTTTTGATCCAACATATATTGTTTCTTTAAAAGACTAACAGCTGATTTACAGATACAAATTGGACAATATAAACTTATCAAATAAATAATGAATATTCAGATGAACTATATGAATAAGTGATTGAATGAGAGTTTTAATTCCTCAGGTCAAATGTCACAAAGGTGACCAGCATGATATAAGATGAATGTTCGGAGTAAGCAGAGTTGTTTTTTTTTCTGTATGAAGTGCTGGCTGACTCATTTTCAGCTAAGTGCTTGGAGTTGTGTTTCTCATTTCAAATGTTGATAACTGAAAAATAAAACTAGACACAGGCTGAACCTGAATTTAAGATAAATGGAATTAATTTTTCAGCCATTTTTCGTTTAAGTTAATTAACTTGAATCTAAATTTTCAAATCATAAATCAAAGCAGAAGCAAAAAATGTGAAAAAAGAAAAAAAAGAAGAAAACCTTTTGAATTGTAAAAGTGCTTGGAAACTGTTCAAACAGCAGAGTGAAGGTGATCCATTCTAATAGTTTCCAAAATGGTCCTCAAAGACCCCAGAAGATGTTGGCAATATGCAGGGGTATGAACAGATAAAAAAATGCAAAGGTAATCAAAAACTTGAACAAAATGAGAAATAATAGAATTGAACTGTTAATTATAAATTAAAAATTACATGGCATTATATTAATAAAATTCTATACTATAATTAATATGCAATATATTCTGAATAGTTCTTTACAATTTTTAAGTTCAAAAATTATATTTTCTTGACATTCATCAAATATAGAAATGTGAGAATGCTGAATGTATAAATAAAGAGGAGTGTTTGCTTTTTCTTAAATATATGCAAGCAGCTTATTTTAAAATAACTGTTCATTCATATTTATTAAGCTTAACTTAGTATGGCATAAGGCCACCATTTTGGTGCTCTAGGTTACAGAAAAATCACAGAAATTACTGTAAATGTAATAGTTTTGTTAACCATTGTTGCATAGTAAGGTGATCTACTTATTTACCAAGCTTTACTGAGCATTTGTTTATGGTCATGACAGGTTGAAACTGGTTCCTGTAGGATCACTGAAGTTAAATAATGTCAAACCTGGTCAGTACCTAGATGGGTGACCACTTGGTAATACCAGGTTCTGTAGCATAGTGGTTATCAGCACAGAAAGTAGGATTGGTGTGTTCAAATTCCAGCTACATCCATTGCATTTGCTTTTGCAAAAATACCCTTGGAAATATATGAATCTATCTCTTCTCTCCCCAGTTAAGGGCTAATAGAAAGACAAACTGGACTTTCATGCTTTGGTTGGCAACCAGATTAAGAGAAGGATAACTCTGAATTCCAAAGTGGTTGGGTGTGGGACTAGCAACTCCACTCATTCACTCACTCACTCACTCACTCACTCACTCACTCAATTCCAGTTAGGACTTGTGACCTGTCATTCTAGCTCCATATATCAAGGTTTTTGTTGTCATAGGTATGAAGATTGTATCCATCGCTGACTTGCTAGGCTTGTTGAATAGCTTAGGACACTGTCTGAGTACTGGCCAGGCTCAATGCTGCTTAATTTTGGTGTTTCAATGTAATATGGCTGTAAGTGCTAGCAACATCAGGCCATAAAATCATACTTGTTATGGAAACCACCTAGCATAGTGAGTCTGTGGCTCTATACTCTACATGCTATCTACAGGGTTAGCATACATGTAGCTTACAAAGTCCAGATATCTATTTATGAGTGAAATTTGAGCTAAGTTTACTAATGTCAGTTCTGATAGCTGACTGTTGAATTATCTAAAAGTTAAAATATAAAGTTAAACTACAGAAATTTGAAATATTCAATAAATCAAGAAAAGTGATTTATTTGATTGACTGAGTCAAGAGTTTCACATTGAAATGCTTGTCAGGACCAGATATCTGTTAAGTCTGTTGAACAATATACAGAGTTCTAGCTTTTACTTTCAAATTACTTATCTATACACTTAAATGCTGAGATAATAATTGTGTTTCTAACAAAGCCTTAATCATATGGAATTGGAATTGAAACATTAACACTAATCGATGGTGCCCCTGTAATATATTACAATATCAACGGATTGTGTTGGTTATACATCACAGTGTAAGAATGATATATCAATGCAGATACAGCCTCTGCTAGATCTTGGAGTTTTCTAATTTATTTCCTTCTATCTGATATTGTCATGCTAAAGTTGGGTTGACAATAAATTCCTGACATCCCACTTTGATTCAAAAATATTTGTGAGTCATATCTCCTGCATACTTTTCTTAGGATTTCATATTTTTCCATCTTAATCTAAACTGTGAATTTAAATAAGAGAATGTCAGCATTTGATCAATTAATGTGATTTCAGTTAAAAAAAATGTTCTGAATCATAAGATGTTTATTTCAAAAAGTCTATCATACTTATATGAAATATATATTATTATTAAACTTATATGCAAATTTTATCACTTTAAACATTATTTTTAGTGGATATCCATATTTCAGTAGACGTTTTATTAATTTTAAACTATATTTTTGTCTACTAGCATGTATATTCAAGAAATCTTATTAAAAAAATATGTACCCTCAAAAATAATATATAAATAAATATTCACAAAAATAAATATACTGTTTAAAGTAAATAAATAAATTTTTCAGATAAAAGTACAACAGTGTCTAATGTGTACTGCAGAAATCAAAAGTGAGCAAATATTACCATGAAGACAGCTCAGATAGGTTTCTACAAAAGTATAAAAGAACTGAGATTCCATGAAGCTGCCTTTCTTGCTAACCTTACCAGTATTGCTACTTAGTGCATTAGTCTCCTGCAAGACTCCTTTTAAAATTCTTCTGTTCAGAAGTTGTGAGCCTCAGTGCAAGAAAGACATTGATGTGAAGTGACATAAAAGGATTAGCCAAAGATATTTGTGCAAACTATGTAGGGTCCCTTTCATTTTTTTCTTTTATCCCTGATGAGAAATGCAAGGCAGGTTTTAAATGAAGAATAAAAAAATCAAAACAAATATCAAACAGTACCTCTGTATTTCCTTGACACAGGACTCAGTGGAGATTTTCTATACTTTCTGCGCTTGCCAAAAATGTTACACTTCTTCCTGTAGACCCATCCACGCAGATGAGGGTTCCAACATGGAACAAGATCACTTCTCTTGATGGTTGGAATTATCACACGAGTTGTGGGCAAAGGAGTAGGGGCTGCAAAAAAGAAGAATACTTGAGTATGTGGCTGTGGAATTGAATTGAATCAAAACAGGTTTTTATTGCGACAACAAAAAATGTCAAACATTCATTTGGACATGAGCAAATCATATCAAGTCAGAGAGGATCAGTTCATCATTCAGCAAAAATGAATGTTTAAAAAAGCATAATGAAAAAAGTAATTTTTTTATCGTATTGTGAACAGTAATTATTTAAAATTTCGATAGCAATAATAATCTACTAAAGTTATAGAAGACATATGAAGAAGTCATGAAATTTAGTTAATTGAGTAAAAAACAGTGAAATGACTGATTTTGTAAGATCCATTTTTCTCTTTAAATTTAGAGTAAAAAATCATTACTGAATAATGTGGATGGTCATATAACATTTACAGAAAACACATTAAAAGAAATTTTGGAAAGATATCTTGAATGATTTTCAAAGTTGTTTTATACCTTTTAAAAAAAGAGAATTGGCAATGACTAGTTTAGGAAAAGGCAACATTTAGTCAAAAAAAGCTTAAATAAAAATTTCATTGTATGTTACAAGATGAAAAAATAGCATAATTCAGCTTGTTCTTTCATTCCTTAGTTAGCATGTATGTTATGCCTTGTCATTACATCAAATAAACAATGGGCCATTCCTATTTGATTGCCAGGATAGACTTGTAATGACTTGCTTGTCCCCTGCCCACAAAACAGATGAAAAGATATATCAAAGGTGCTATTTGGTTTGAGGGAAGGAAGGAAAGAACAAATGAACCAATGAAGAAAAGAAGATAGAGGAAGTGATAACACTCATGTGTTTAATGTCTCTTTCAGTGAAATAGAAAACCTTGTCAATTTTGTAACTTCATTTGTACCCTCTTATTTTTTTAAATAATGACCTGCATTCATATTTATGATTGTTATTGTAATATTTTGTTAAAGTTGTTAAACTTAAATATTTAACAACGGGGGAATTTCCATGGATATTTTATAGTTGTGGAACTCACAATGAGCTTATTCAATCATTAGCTTAAGATTCAGCAGAAAATTAAAATAGGAAACCGTAAAATTTTTACAAGTATTGCTAGCCATTTTTTAAAATTTGGTACTAGTGTAAATATCCTATACATTTGTTGTACTGTTTATTCTTTTTAACATTTTTTAGAGGAAATAGTCCTACCTAGTGGTTTTTTTCTCCTTTTCACTACAGCATTCTAACTTGTTAGAAACTGTCAGGAAACTGGCAGTTGTAATCAAGAACTAGAAAAGTTGAAACTGTACTTTGTTTGACCCCACTTGTGCTAAGTGTTGAATTCCCAATGTAAGAAATCACTGGACTAAGTGTTAAGATATTATGTTGTAACTAGGGGAGATATTTCAGTTCAATTATGTGTTAATAAAAATTAAACTTAATTAAAATATCAAACTATTACTTACTCTTTAATTCCACCTTTTTTGTTTTTAATCCAGAGATCAATTATACAAAACAATTGAAAGGAGTATTTGTTAAAGTATGTCACAAAGAACTTTTGGAACTGCTAGGTAATCTCAACATATTTGGAAAGAATATTAGAATAATCCAGAACCTATACTGGTTCATAACCAAATGTATATGGATAGCAAATGAATTCAGTAAATATGCTAAAATAGAAAGAGGTCTGTCTATATTTCAGAGATAAAGTATTGTAGCTATTTACACTATTTACATTGTTTGGACTGTTGTCCTCATCTTTATTGTGATATTTTGGCCATTGTACACATGAGCCTTCTTCAGGTTATATATGTTGGAATTTCAAACCAAATCTTTAATTTTGTCCACTGGGGTAAATTTTCTTAGTTCCATGTGCCATACCTTTTCTCAATATTTCAGTTTCAGTTATTTCCCTTTAGTAAGTCAACTCTCCAAGTTTACTGAACTCACAACTCTTTGGGTGAAGTCACTGGACTACTTTAACTAACGCTTTTATTGACTGAGCCTTGTATGAATTTTTGGGATTTATAAACCTAATGTCTCAGTAACTATTTTTTACCAGAACTCATATTAGAATTTGTTGTTATTACTGTTTTTAAGTGTGCATCAACTGAAAGGTTCTGATGAATTCAGAACATGAGGATAATTGTCCAAATTATATATGATATAATAAATCCCTTTATTATTGCTTAATACCAAGTGTTGCACATCCTTTACTAAAAACTCTTAACCATCTTAATTTTGAAATCAGATTTTCCCTCTAGTAAAGATTAGCATATATCAACAGAGGATTGAGACATAAATCTCATTTGAAAAACTCTACTATCCTAACCTATAATTTCTCTCATGTTAGTAATGTTTAAGCAGCCCTGCCTGTCTTTCAGGCTTGGATTAGTGTAGTATCTATTCCCCTCCTCAGCCATGTTCTTATCTTGGGGCAGGACAGCAAAACACAAGTTCTGTTTTGTCTTGGGGATTTCAATCCTGTCATAATACTTACCTATTGCTCTTTATGTAGGAGGTTTGAGTATTCTGATACATGTGTGACATTTATTGCAGTGGATTGGACAATTTTTGCCTTTTCACACGTGTACATGTATAGACTCCCATATGAAACTGGCCCTATGTCATGTCTTACCCTTGTGAGGCGTTAAGTAGATATAAAATAACAGTGGACATCTACCTTGAGGAAAACAATTAGGCAACTACAAAATTGTATAAATTACAAAAGGAATAAAAGAATCAGATGAATTATTACCTTTTGTAGTTTTTAAAGTTGATAGAATACGTGTAAGATTTAAAGGTGGTAGAGTCATGAATGTAGTCATCCAGTCAAGGTCAGAGGTTACCAGTTCAGTTAACTGTTCAGTTGTCAGCATCTCAGTGGTTGGTTCCATGGTAGTAGTTGTGGTTGGTTCTGAGGTATATTAAAAGTAAGATAAAATACATATTTTCTTTTTTATAAACAATTCATTTATAAGCAACTGTACTCAACTTAAGCAATTCTATTACTGATGTCAATGTGGATTCAGCAACTTAAAAAAGAGTAAGAAGAAAAATGAAACAAAAAGAGTTATATATGATATTTTATACTGTATTCAAGAATTCTACCAATTCTAGATATACTGAAATATCCTTCTTTTCTATTTATAAATAACTGTAAAAGATGTAAGTAATCATTTAAGTAACTTCAGTACTAATTCTTGTGTAAAATTAAGCTACCCAAGTGCTAATCAAAATCTTAAGTTGCTTTTGAAAAAAAAAGTTTAGGGTTTCATTTATTCTCTTCTATATCTATCTATCTATCTATCTATCTATCTATCTATCTATCTATCTATCTATCTATCTATCTATATATATATATATATATATATATATTTATATATAGAGAGAGATCAAAAATTGATTCAGACACACATACATGTGCATTGTGGATTATTTATGTAAAGCAAAACTGCTTCTTGAGTTGAAACTTTTCAATTTTTCATGAGAATCTTTATCTGAATGATTATGTGAACATAGTTCGAAAAGAATTATTCAAAAAGAATTTATTTGAATTGTAAATTGTTTGAATGAAAATTAATCAAAAGGACAATAAAACTAAATGATAATTATTCAAAATGCTAAATTCTTTATTGCAATAAAAATGTAAAAATTAAAAGAGGAAATACACAAATGATAAATATTTGAAATACAAATATCATTAATAAAACAATTAAGTAAGAAAAAATCCTTATATCCTTAAGTTATATGATACTGCATGCAAATAATCAACTACTGAAGAGTACTCATTAAAGGATGCTACTAATTTTTCCATCACATCACAGTATTTCTTAGTGCTTTTGATATTTTGGCAACCTGCTCTTACTTTTGCAATATGAATTTCTTGGAAGTCCTGTTCTTTTTTAAGTGTGTCTAAGAATTTCCATATTATTAGATGATGGGATGACACTTGCGAAAAAGCCCTATGTTATCCTTCGAGGGTGTTATTAGTTCTACGTAAATCAGTATTGACTCTCTCAAAGCAAGTGTCAAATGTCAAGACTATGTACAGACATTCATTAGAATAATATTACAACGTGGTTGGAACAAAAGTAACTATAACTTCTGTTATTTTTCATTTAAATATAATAATTGTTACTTGTTTTAGCAAAGATGTTAACCAATAGGTAAATTATATTGTCTGTGGAGTTAGATATTTTCTAAACTTTGTTAAATCTGGTTTGGGGCTATATATTGGTACAAAGATTGTATTATACTAATTGTTTCAACAGATAGAACCTACCTGTCTCTTGGAAAAATTATTTGAAAGTCTTTTATGCAGACTCTTTCACCACCACTAGGGATAATGGGATATAAGTAACTAACTCACTTATAAAGCCAGCCTGACAAATATATTTCCCAAGCTTAGTTTAGTCTGGTACATGCCCAACCACATGGAGATTAGAAGATTATGTTGTATGAATCTTCCATATTGAGAGAGCTTGTTTACCTTTAAAAAAAAAAAATCAACATTTGAAATGTTAACTGGGTTTGAACACTAAGATTCCTTTGGTGAGATGTAAGTTCTACTCAGGCAACTTCTTTCCATGAACCATTGCCTTGTGGAACTGATTCCCAAGTAGATACTTCACTACAGTCTCAAACTGTTCAAGTTTTGGGTTAACCATTATTGTCCATACATATCTGCATAAGCTGTGACCCTTAATCTGTAACGCTCTACTTCAATGGCCCTTTGAGTGAACATTGTAAAAAAAAAAAAAAGAATCACAAACAGAATAGCATAAAGTATATTTCTTTATCATTATAAAAAGTATGTCTATAGATAACCAAGTATTATATGTGATTAATTGTTACTAACCTGGAGTAGAAGTTATTTTACGTAGCTTTCCATTTGAACATGTATGACAGCACAGTTTGTTTCGAGCATTAGCATTGTAGAATGCACAAAGAAACTTTCGACAACCAGTTACACGATCTCCATATTCACAGTCTGGAAAATAAAACAAAATTACCAGAAAAAATTTGTCCATCCTAATTTTTGTTATTTCTTACAATAAATTTGAGGAATGATATATCACTTTATTTGGTTGACTACTGCAAACTCTTCTCATCAAATAATATTAGAAGATAAAATGATTGTTACGTTTTGTAAAATACATTGGTTTAATGCTTTGGCACAACTCATCAGTTAAACTAATCTTAAAATTGATTCAGATAAGAATTTGTTGTGGGTTTGCTTATGTTGTTTCTGGACATGATAATTAACATTGGTTTCTAAGAGATGAAACAATTCCTGTGCTGGGTTTCTTTTGGTTCAACTTGGTAAGCATAAGACATGTGGTTATTTCACTTCAACTTAGTAGGCATAAGCTAGTCTTGTAGGACAAGCTTTCTTTCCTCATCTTTACTTGATGATGCCCAATGAAGAAAAATCAGGGTTCTTATAGTTGGTGTAAATCTCCAAATATTGTGAGATATTCTAGAAAGGCAGTGATTGGTCTATGCCAGCCAATCAATGTCTATATTCTATGTCAGTGTTCAAACTTTTTTTGTTTATCTCTCTTCTAGATTTCACTTTTTATTGTCTTTTTTTATCAGGGGTGGTGGTTATGCAATAAGTTAACTGAACTGTAGGTAACTCTCAGCTGATATTTAACAAAGTTCTACTTAAAGAAAAAATCATGTCTACAAACATAAACAAATGTAAATTAAAATTAAAATTTGAAAACCATAAACAGTGTTGATAAAAGATAGGCTTGATGAGACTGACTGACTTGAAATCAAGTTTTAATTTCTTTATCTTGGGATATGTATGCATTTATAAAACTATCAGCTTTTAGATTAAGAATTTTATTTTCTTTCTATAGTAAAAAACATGATGTTCATGCATATATAGACAAATTCTTCCAGTAATGCTTGCATTCATCTCTAACAACTGATAGTCATGTTTTTTTTCTGATATACAAGGCACAATATACAGACTGAACACTGAAGCTTGCAAAACCAATTTAAGGTAAATAATTGCAAAATTTCTGTTTAAATTTATTAAATATCATTTCTGAATGATAATATTATTATGGAGATGTTCCTTTGTATATAAACTAGTAAAAGACCTTCACAGATTGCTTTGATTGAATCGCATAATAAAAATAGCATGTCCTTTTTTGTTGATATTGTTAAGTGATATATACTAGTGAATTATATTTCTTTTCATCTTGTTTATATTTATGCTGTACTGCGTTATGATTGAACAGGTTAATGTTGCATTTGTTTTTGCTTATGTCAGGATGACTGCATTATTTTTTCTAAATTTCTTTAAGACTAATTTTATTTACCCATCAATGACAGGGTTTTGGAAATTATTGTTCATAAATGTTTGTTTCATATTGCTCAATACTTTATGAAATAATGTTTCTGAAGAAGAATTATTTTTGCTTGGTTAATCATTTTTTTATAACAGCTGTATTTTATCTCTGAGGTTATTTACTTTTTTAATTGAGAAGATATAAAGTTTTGTTTATGGGTTTTTATATAGTGAAGTAGTAAAATTATGACTTGGCATCAAGGAAAGAGATTATGGTATTATTATCAAAGGTTTCTTTAAGTTTTCTTTATTTCATCTAGGCTTTTTAATTGTTAGTAGGAATAGATCTTGATTATATTGAACACATATGGTAAACTTGATGAAATTATTAAAGATTTTGTTTTCTACATGGGTCATGTAGAAATTAAATAAGGTAACACTGAGAGGCAAACCCATAGCTATACCAACAGCCTATGTGTAAATTCTGCTATGATGATCAAAAAAGGTATTAGTGTTATGCAAGATAAATTTTTATATAGAATTGTTGGTTTAATATTATGAAGTGGAAGCAAACTGCCAGCATGTAGCTAACAAGATCTTGTCTACCACACTGATAACACCCAGTTCTTGATAATGACAGAGATGGTCAAAAGTACTAGATTGAGAACAAATCTAAACATGAACTTCAGATGTAGCCATAATTTTGGTTATGGTATACATCTTATTTTGAAAATACAATAAAAAATTATGCACACAGACCATGTCAGTTGAAGTTAATAAAACTTTTTAGTATATATATATATATATATATATATATATATATAGTGTGTGTGTGTGAAAGGGGACATTGAAGTCAACACCCAGAGGCAACAATTTGTTTCATGCTAAACATAATCACCAGGTATATATATCTCTTTCATTAAATATGACCAACAAAGAAGATTTAGTTAATTTTTTATTAAGTTTTTCCAGTTTCCTTACATTTTTTGTTTTGTAGAAGTAAGGGAGTACAGAAATTTTCCATAATTTTTATTGGTCCAAGTGCTTTCAGGCACTTCTATAGCCATTTCTTACAAAAATTAAATCTGTCTTGTCAGCCATATTTAATGAAAGATCTTTGAAAGAAAGGTTGCTGCCCATATATATATATATATATATATATATATATATATATATATATATATATATGAAAATTTCTCAGAGTTAACCTGTAGAAAAGACAATATTTTTAAATATAAATGACAATAAGAAAACTGTAGTAATTGCTGATGTGTTTCGTCCAATGTGGACTTTCTCAAAGCAAAAAACGAAATTAATTTATTTATTATTAGTTACTTTGTTTAAATAAATTCGTAATCTATATTCTTTATTAATAGCATAAATGATCTATAATCTTTATTAATAGCAGCTATGTTTTACATGAAAGTTAAATACATTAAAAACTTTCATCATAATAAATTATAATCATCATTATATGATAAAAATATAGTTTTAAGGTATGCTATATTTATGGGTAAAAGTTCTCAATATTAGAGATAGAGTATATGCAAATATAAAAGTGGACACTGTGGTCAACACCAAGTGGTACCAGTTTGTTTCATGCTCAAACACAATCACCAGTGTCCAATTTTATGTTTATATTTAACAATATTATAATAAAATTTAGAAAGAAAAATGATAAATGCTTATATTTAAATTATTAAAATATTTTAAATGTTCAGAAAAAAATATAAAGTTTGTGCAAAATATTTTTTCAACTAAAGAGAAGTATGACACAATGATAAAAGGTATGATTGTTAATGTTTATTAGAATATTCTTTATTATGAAAGTGTTTAATTAACTTGCAAGTAATAACCAATAAAATCCAAAGAAGAATTTGCAATGTTATCAGTCCTAACATGGTATCTTACTTTCAGTCACTTTCTAACCACTGTAATATTGCTTCCTTGTGCATTTTCTATAAATATTTTCATAGTAATTGTTCTGTTGGGATTTCCTTGACATTACAAATTCAAGCACAGTACTATATTGGCAGCTTGATTTCATCTTTTTAAAGTTGAAATTGCTAGATGTAACCATAAATTTATGCTAACAGGTTTTATTTTATCACACTTCTCACTTGTGGAAATCTGTTATGGTTTTTTGCTTTCCAGTTAACTTTGATCTTCAAAAATTTAAATGCAATGTCAGTCGTTATCTTCTGTCTTCTTAATTCCTCTTCTTTTATTATCTTCTCTTCTTTTTTTCTCATATTATTTCATCTCAGTAACCCCTTGTATCTTAGTGGCTTTATCACCTTTCTTGGTGTGAAATGATTTAAAAAACAAAAAAACAAACAAACCCAAAGCTTCTATTAATGAAGGATGCACAAACATAAATATATTGTGAACATGAAGGATATCCCCATGAAATGAGTAAAAATATTAAGTTTTAAAAAAGTTTCAAAATAGATCAAGTAAAAAAAAAATGCAATATAGCCATATATTGCATAATAAAAAGGATGAAATCCAAAGACAAAATATTACAAGCCTCTTGCTACTCTACTATTTTCATGGCAAATGTTCTGACAATCTACATTTCTTAGTTCCACTAGTGGAAAGTAAGAAATGTAGATTACATACAAGAACAACCCTCTCTAAAATTTCCCTTTCCCACATATGAAACGTCGCAAGTCTACTCTATTATTATTTTCATGGCAAATGTTCTGACAATCTACATTCCTTAGTTCCACCAGTCTTGACCTTCATAGCAAAGACTAGCCATGCCACATATGCTGAGATAAATCATCCTCAGTCCCCTCGTATTCCATTAGTAAGAAAGAAGTTCCACTCAGACAAATTCTTCCTAAGAAACCCTACTTTGTTGAACAAACTCCCAAGAAGATGTTTTCCTGATCATTACAGTCTTAACCTCTTCAAGTCTAGGGTTAATCATTATCTCACCTATATACTCATAAACAACACTTATGTTCATATGATAACATAATTCACTAATCCTCAACTTTGAATGACTATTGGGCTTTGCACTGAATGAACATGAGTAAAAGAAAACAAAAAAAAAACAAACTTGTAAATAGAGCCAAGATCCTGGTATACTCACTTTCCAAGCCAACGTACTTAGAGGCACAGGATTCACAGCAACGGCCAGTGTAGCACTCCCCAGGAGATACAGCTATTAGCTCAGGGCAGGGCAGATCTTGGTCAACAATTCCCGGTTGGTCGCCAAATGGACAATGGCCTTTTAAAATTGAACAACAATAAGTTATTCATGAAAGCGGAAGAAACATTTTGTTATTTCTTATAGTTTAACAGTTAGGAAATGACCCACTGGTGTTATTTCATTAATATTGATAAGTGAATAATATGATTATACTCATACTAATATCCTTCAATGGATGCTGCATTAACGATATCAATATTTTTATAATATGGATTCTGGTTGTATAATTGTTAACCCTTTAGTAATAACGGAGTTTATTCTCTTGTATATGTATGTATGTATGTTTATATATATATATATATACACACATATATATAATATGCACACAATATAAGTTATACATATATATATAATTGGATTTGCTAAGTGCTTTTATGTTACCTCAGTTTTTCTTGGCAAAGAAAAAACTTGAATAAAATATTCTATTTATATTGACATATTTTAATTTCATATTCTGTATTGAAATTAAAGCAAAACTCAATTATTAAAGATTCAGATATAAATAAAATATATCTGTAAAATGATAAAAGGAAAACATATTCAGTAAATGAAAGGATTTCATTTTGCAACATGCATTTATAAACAGAAGAAAGTAGGAGGAAAGATATTAAGTTTTCAAAATTCAAAATTTAAGAACACGCAAAAATATTCTTAAAGGTAACTGTGTCAGTATAGGTAAACTATTTAACTTGATAGTCCCTCAGGAGATGAAATTCATTGGTAAAGAAAACCTTTTCTTTTGTCTTTATTCTCTCTCACTCACATATGCACTTGTGTAGTTAAGGTCTTAAATAGTTTAGAAACTAGCTTTTAATAATATTAAGTACTACTTGAATTCTCTGTGAGAATTTAATTTAAAATTTTTTGAACAAATTTATTTAAAAAATTAAAATCAGTTATTTAGTAAAAAAAAAGGATTCTTCAGTTATGAGTTTCCTGTATGAACATATTATATTACAAATTGTACCTACAACCACATATTAACTTCTATATATGTGTGTGTTGCTTATATTTCATGCTTATATTGTGAAAAAGAAAGAAAAAATTACCCATGACATTAGGTGCACTATCAGATCTGACGCATTGGCCACCATCACACCACTACAATTAGGAATAAAGAAAAATGTAGACTGGTCAGTATGGTATATGTCATAAAAAAGAAGTAATAATGAAATTTAAACTAATTTTTCAATATGCATAAAAATTATTTTAATGAGGCTAGAAAATTTGCTTAAACTATTAACAAAGCTTACTAACATTTTTTTGGTATTTTGTTTCATAAACATTTTTATTAAAATTAGTCTGGCACAAGGCCAAAATTCAATTTTAGCTTAGCCTGGACCAGAATGATAGAACACTTAATGAAGATTAAACTTGCCATACTAAAGAATTGGTCTGTGAAAACTATATAAAATCTTGATAGTGTTCATGTATGTCAACAGTACCATAGTACAAAATGTTTCCCCCTCCTTCAAACATTAGTTTTCCTCTGGGTAAGTTATTTGCTTCTTTGTGGCATTCTAGGAATTTACAGCATTAATTCTCAAATCTTAAATGGTTGTCAAGAAGAGGACATTGGTTGAAGTGAAAGATTTGCTTCTCAAATGATAGCTACTGAGAAAAACAGAAATTCAGCCTAGCTAAGAGAATGAGTGAAGAACTAATTTGAATGAAAATAAAATTTTAACACTTGCTTTATCAACTGGAAAATGGCAATAAAAATTTTTCTAAAGACAAATGGAAATAATTAAAAATACTTATTTGTAATCTTATATGTATGTAACTGAATAATATATATTGCTATTTGTATCCTTCTTTTTTCACATATCTCTTTCTCTCTCCATATATATATATATATATATATATATATATATATATATATATATAATAATAATAATAATAATACCTGGCCACTTGTATTCAAGGATACATGTATACTAGGGCAGCTAGCCAACCCCTATTGCAGATGCTCACTCAGGCACATTTATGTTTGCTCAACACCCACAGAAACCACCTGTAATTTATGCTGCAACTATGCTGAGCAGACCTTAGTTACAGTTTCTGGGAGAGAGCATGTTATGTAACGTGATCAACAATTTGAACAAGGCCACGATGACTTGTGGCTTCATGCTAGAACAGCTATTGACAGCCCACAAGAGTACCGTCTACCCACTTTCACTCACTAGGCTTGGGTCAACCCGTGGTATGGTTTTGGGGCACTTTCCAAAGGTGCTGCATGCTGAAATAGACTTCGATCCAGTTCGATAACATCAGGTAGTCGCCTTCCTGGCAAATTGACCATGGTGAGATTCGAACCCGGGTCTCATGGTCAGAAAGTGAAAGTTCTAATCACTCAGCCATGTGCCCATATATATATATATATATATATATATATATATATATATAAGTAGGGATATAGAATCCCAACAAATTTTTGAAAAAATTGACAAATGGAAAATGCTTAAATAATTATTATTTAAGTATACAAACAAATATAACCCCATTGCCACATGTTTCACTGAATACCATTCTTACTCTGGTCTGTGTCTGTTGGTCTGTCTCTGGTGATCTAGCTCTGCACCAATCCTGTGCCCCATGTCATATTCCAGTATACGCAAGAATATTGGTGAAGAACTGTTGAAAATTGGGCTTGACTTTAGTGGAACATTTTACATGCTCCAGAATCTCACCCTCATTTGACCTGATTATCACAGGTGTCATCGTTAATTCTATCTGAAAGTGTGTTATATTCCTGATCAAAACAAACCTGACCTATTAATATCTGCTTTGTGTCACTTATTCCAATAAACAATTCCTTTATCAAATGAACACTTAAGTTAAACAAACCTAAAACCATAGACTCTACTTAATGACCAATCCCACCCAGGCTTACAATTTTAGTTTTTGCTCCATAATCTATAAGTGACACAAACCAGATAATTCGTGGTATTGAACATGAAAATATTTTTCTTTCTTTAGAAATAACAGTAGATGCCAGTTAACCTTTGACATCAGTCATGGTGTCATAAAAATACACACACACACATTGCTTTCTTTCATTTATGGATCTGATGAAGCCTAGAAAAGCAAAACATATAATCAAATCTAGTTTCAATGAAACAGTTTTCTATTTGTCATATATATATATATATATATATATATATATATAAGTATTTTCTTTTTCCCAAATTTTCTCATACCCAGTAACCCATTACATTTTAGTGGCTTTATTGCCTTGCTTAGGATGAAAAAATGTATTGGTCTTGTGTAGTGCATTCAAAGAGAAGCATACAAATCTGCAGGATGTGTTTATTGTAGTGTGTCTGTGTTCAACAATAAAGACAGCATTGTGTATATCAAAGCTCTGATTCCAGATGACAGACAGTACAAACTTTATAAAATGGCTTTGTAACCTGATCTTCTGGAAAGATCAAAGTAAGCTGTTTGTTAAAAGAGACCAGGGTATTTGAATAAGGATGTCATCCTGCTGTATGACAACGCTACCTAACCCACACATAGCCAAACTTGTCAAAAGAGTGGCTCCAGTAATATAATATGATTGAGATGTTTCACCACATCCACCCCATAACCCTGACTAGGCTTCTTCAGCTTATCTGTTTGGGATCCTTAAATTATATTTATTCAGAATGTTGTTTCACGCAGAAGATCCTGTTGTAACAGAGATCCAAGAGTGTCTTCAGTCACTTGATGCCAAATTCTTAAAGCAGGATATTTTTAAGATTATGCACAATTGGGACTAGTGCCTGAATCTCAATATTGACTATTTGGAAAAGTAATATTGTAGTGCTGGTAGCATATATATATATATATCAGCAGAATTATCCAAATCATGTAACAGCATGGGATAATTGTCCATCCCACAAAATGTTTAATATCTAAAAAAACACTAAACTAATGGAGTTTCTTTTCTCCAGGTTTTCAGACAAGACAGCCATCTTGACGCCATTTGTCATAAGAGTCACTGAAAAATCCTTCGAGTTATTCAGATAGAAAAAGAACAGGTTAAAATTGTTTTGTGTTAGCCCCACAGTCTACCCAAATGAGCAATGGTGAGATGAAAAAGATTATTCGGGCCTTCAGAAATGATACCAACATTCATATATCTTCAAAGTCTATTCAAGAAACATCAAGAGAATGGTGAATAAGTTTAAAAAAGATAGAACAGTAGAGGAAAACTGGATCAGGAGGTCACAACAGGAAGAGAGATCATCATTTCAACTTAGAGCTAAAGAGATCAATTAGAAAAGATCCAAATCAGTTGTTTGGCGTGTGAGAGAGGAGTTTCAGCTATGATAGTCCAAAGAGTAGTGAAAAAAGACTTGAAAATGAAATCGTACATGAAACCTGTGAGGCACCTTTTACTCCAGGAAAGAAAGTTAGAAGGTTAAAAAGGGTGAAGATCATCTTGAATAAATTGGAAAATAATCCTGGAATAATGTATGTATATTTGAACTTTCAATCCTTCATGAGCTTCTGATCCTTAGCTATGATTAATTAATGATGAACATATATTTTCATTTATGATCAATTTCTTCATGATTCTTCCGTTAAGCTTTGGAGTTAGTATACATTCTTGTTGCTCAAATTAGAGTCCAATAGTGCTATAAAAAACATGGAAAATTCCAGTAAGATATCTTTAATCATTTCTAACATACAACGGTTCAAAGTTTAATCTAACAAATGGACAATTTTGCTTTTATACAATTTGGACTATTTTGCTGTTACACCTGGTATAATATTTTGTAATAAGCATGTTGGCACCTTATTTTTCAGACATTTGAAATTATGGTCCTTATTTGAAGTCTAACACTATTCTTGATAATGGAAAATACATAAATATCTCTGCTACCAGACAAACACATGTCTATTTATATAATATCTGTATGTGTGTGTGTGTGAGGGGGTGCTGAAAAGTTCTTGGTTCAACCAAGAAGGGATTCCAAAAATATTCTAATGTTTGGTCATTTTGGTCATATTTTGGGAAGTGATTATTCCTTTTTTGTTCATCAAAATTTCACTGACTTTTGCACTTGTGATTTTTTATCAGCTATAATGAGAGTATTAGTCTGTTTGGCCCCTGTTCATAACAGCAGCAGGGCTGTCAGTGTGAGGCCTGTCAGTTTCTTCTTTTTCTCTAAGATTGTTTTTAATTTTGCTGACCCATCTCCTTACTGTGCTGATATATTACATCCTTTCCATAAACTTTCACTAACCACTTGTGAAATTTTGCTTAATTTTTTCTTCCAAAACAAAACTTTTATGAGAGCCTTTTGTGTGTCCATTTTTGAAGAATGATTATGGAAAGGTAACACAATGAATTTTTATTTTTAGATAATTTATAATTTATTACTTAAGAAAGAAACAAAAAACAAAAAAACTAGGAATTCTGACTTATATTTATGGCTTTTCCTTTGTAATAAAAAGTAATATTATAGCCCTGATGATGGAGTATCAATTTTTTTGTATATAAGATTGGCTCTTACATTAGGGTTCCAATAATTATTAGCTACTTAATAATGTTAGAAGTGTCTTTGAAATTTTTCATTAAAAACTTTTCTGTTCTATAAAAGGTATCACCATTTTCATATGTTAAAGCTTTTAATTAACATTAGCTTTTTCTGCAATTATCACTAAGACTATTTTAATCATGAAATAATACTTTCTGATAATTTTCCATTTATTCCATCATGTTTCTCTGATGGGTATATCTGAGCCAGTGCACTTCAGCCCACTACAAATACTGGTGTAATCATTCACATAGTGTTTCTGAATTCATAAATAGTCAAAAAATCATTTAAGTATGGAATATAAAAGTGTAAAAATTGATATATGAAAACTGAGATAAAATAAAATTTCCCTCCTAAGATATTATAATTATTATTATTATTATAAGAATTATTATTAGGCTCTTTTGCTCCCAGAGGAGCAGAGGCCATTGGCATCAATCCTCCATCAAACTTGATTCTAGGTTCTCATTGTCGTTTCTGTGTAATTCTAGTTATTTTATTTGTTTCAGTACAAAGCACTTTTTGAATATTTTCAAAGATTAGTTATATCCTATAAGTAGAAGCAAATAACCTTTTAAAATTGTATAGGATATGCTCTTGATATTGTACAGAATGTACTGTGTGTAGGATTGGTTATAGGATATAGATTGGATACAGATAGGAATGGATATAAAATATAGATTGGATATAGAGAGGAATGGATATAGGATATAGATTGGATATGGAGAGGAATGGATATAGGATATAGATTGGATACAGATAGGAATGTATATAGGATTTGGATTTAATATAGATAGGAATGGATATAGGATATAGATTGGATATAGAGAGGAATGGATATAGGATATAGATTGGATATAGAGAGGAATGGATATAGGATATAGATTGGATATAGATAGGAATGGATATAGGATATAGATTGGATATAGATAGGAATGGATATAGGATATAGATTGGATATAGAGAGGAATGGATATAGGATATAGATTGGATATAGATAGGAATGGATATAGGATATAGATTGGATATAGAGAGGAATGGATATAGGATATAGAGTGGATATAGAGAGGAATGGATATACAGGGTGCAATGGACAAATTGTCATCTAAATTATACAAAAATGAAAATAACAGACATATTTACCATAATTACACAAAAATAACTTGAAATACTAAAGAGTAAATTTATTCTATAAAGTTGCCATTGGCTTTAACCACAGCCTCCAGACGACTTCGCAATCTCCTGCAACTCTTCTAGACAGTCTCCTTGTTTAAGATGGTGAATACTATCATAATCCTTGCCTTCATCATTGGTTTTACAAGGAGTTTTGTTGGTCCCTCTGCAACTGTGTCACACATAATAATCAAAGGGGTTGCAGTCTGGAGAGTTAGGTGGCCAGATGTAAGGGGTGATGTGGTTGCAGAAATTGTCTGACAGCCATGACTCGGTTCTCCTCTTAATTTGGCATGGTGCAGAGTCTTGTTGCCAGACATAGGATCTTCCAGCAGCCACCCTCTTCATGCAAGGCAGCACTACCTCCATAAGTCAATTGATGTAGACTTCCGTGTTGAGTCTGAGGCCCTGTGGGAATATTAATGAAGGCATAAAGTTGCCATCACTAGTAATCATTCCAAACATCTTTGTAATCACCATTAGACTCATCCAACTCCTTCTGAATCCTCTTCACTATCCTCAGATTGACAGCCAACACTCTGAAATGTTTGTATTGGAGCTTCCAGCATGAATGTCAAGCAGTACAGCATGCCATTTCCAAATTTCTGGTGAAGTGATTTGTGTCATGGTGCTCTTTTTCTCACAGACTGTGCCCAATTGACCCTACAAAACTATGACAAAATGAAAAACAAGCAACACGCATGCTCAAAATTTAAAAATATAAAATGGTGACAATTTACCCATTGCACCCTGTAGATTGGATATAGATAGGAATGCATATATTATATGTATAGGATTTACTATAGATATACTACAGAAAAAATAAAAATGAATATAACAAATACCAATTTACTTAATTTCTGTCTGAATTTCTGGGATGAGGAGTTATCCTTACTTATATGTGGACTATTGGTCTCATCTTTGTTGTTGTTATCATGTTTTGGCCATTGTGCCCTCCACTTTTATCAGGTGTCCTGTATTTAATCTAGGCAGATAGATTGTTCTCATTCCACTGCCCATGTCTTGTGATATCATGTCGAGTTCATATTTTAGTCTTGCTCAGTTATTATTGTACAGGGCAGTAGCCTAGTCGATTAGAATGGCTTGTGAATTTGTTGACATAGTTACTATGAGTAAATCTCTGGGCTAAGCAGTGTGTACTTGTACTCAGTGGAAACAGGGCAATCAGTAATATATATATATATATATATATATATATATATATATATATATATAACACTGTAGGTTACCTGGATTGACATACAACTGATAAAGGCTGGAGGGTACAATGGCCAAAACATCATAACAATAAAGATGAAGACAATAGTCCTCATGTAAATAATGTAAATACGGATTTACTTTTTAATCAACTGTGAGTTATCAATTTTCCTGACTTTGGATATATCTACAGACAACTTTGACAAGCTGTACTTATAAAAAAAAGCACACAATAAATCAAATGTCTCCCTCTCAATATTTCATCTTTCTTTAATTGGGTGAAGAAATTATCAGTTTTTGAAAGTTATACTCATCATGAATTTATTTAAGCAGTTGCAATCTATTCACATGTTCAGTTTTCATTTCATTTAAAATATTTTGTTTTTAGTTAAGTTTGTTCTGAAAGTGTTCTATTTTGATATTTATTAAGCTTGAGGATAATGGTGAAATTAGCCGTTTATCTACAAGAAACATTTGCCATTTATTGACTGAAGAGTCAGCATCACTGTTGGTTGAAATTTATAAAATTTGTTTCTCAAATTCACTGTTATTGCACTTTCTAGTATTGATGGTAGTTTATTTCCTAACCTTTTGTTTAAAGTTGTATGAAAACACCATATCTTGATTATATCATTATTTTCCCTTCTAGTTACATGTGTCACTCATTTTAGTTGTTGCTGTTAGAAGTCTTCAAGTGATGTTATTTTTGTTAACGTGATGTTTTTTTTTTATTATTTAGTAAAGCTTTTTGTGATTTTGTAGTGTCAGTTTGATGAAAAATTGTCTTCTTTAAGACATAAAGGAATTATTTGCTTGTGGCCATTTTTAATCATTGATCTGATAAAAAATTTATATATAGATGATAGTTTAGACATTTCTGAACAAGTTGGATGCATTGCATGATATTCATATGAGAGTCTAAACCTGACAGGCTATTTAAGAACATGACTTCTCAGGTTAATATTTAGGTTTTGTAACATTTTACAGTGTTCAACAAAAGAACCTCAAAGCTTGCAGGAAATAAGGATAAATAAGATAAGAAGATTGTGTTGTGTCAATCTTTCAAGTGGAGATGCTTTGTAGGCTTTGAAAATTAACATTTCAAATCCAGGTCTTTATGTGTGCATTAATGTCAATTATTGTTACCATTGTGAGATTCTTAACTCTGAGAGCCATGAAAAAGCCTACAAATATGTTGTCTTATTTTTTCATATTTTTTCTTTGTATAATGCTTATTTTTTCAAAAATTATTTATATGACTACCAAAATTTTACCAATTTAGAAAAGTGTTTAAACTCTAAAAAATAAGACAAATACAAAAATTTGATTTCAGAATTGACTTGAATCTTGATTAAAACAACAGTAATTACAGTGGTGAAAATATATACTGAGCTTGAATTTAGCATATATTTGTCATAGGAATAAGAAAGGATTGAATATATATATATATATATATATATATATATATATATATATATATTTATAACAGAAATTTTCAAAGTAACATTGAAGTCAGCAAATAAGACTTAGAATCTGAAGATATGAAAACTAGTTTTAGAGGCTGCAACTGGATATTGTCAACTTACTCATATGAAATATTAGCTATCAGGTTGACAGTCATCTAAAATAGAAATTAATTAATTGTAAGACTTACTCTCATAACAACAGATGTTGGACCATAATTAGCTTGACATTGCTGATCAGCTTCACTACCTCCAAGAGCAGCACCCATTCCTCCTGCAGCCAGTCCACCACCTCCAAGGCAGTTGTTGTTGGTGCTAAGGCCAAGAGAAGACAATTTATATTAGAATAGAAAAAAAGATATTAACTCTTTATTATAGATTTTGTAATTATGGGAAATCATTTTTGCGATGAATTTACATAAAATGTTTTAATTAATTCAGAAAAGATACAAAATAACTCAGTGAAAATGATTGTGAAATAATGTTATTATATCCAGTGATTATCTATCTCTATATGTATGTATGTATGTATGTATGTATGTGTATGTATATATATATATATATATATATATATATATATATATATATATATATATATATAAGCGATATGCAGGTGGCATAACAGATATCAACATGTAAAATGGAGTCAGTAGGTGAGGTTTAAATTATGGCCAAGTCTGTTGCATTCACTTTGTATTAATGTCCTTGAGAAAGGCATGAAACTATCTTTCCTTTCCCTAACTATGGGTAAAATAATAGTGTAGACTAACAGAATAGATTTAATAATAATAAAAATAATAGAACAGACTAATTCTCAGAAAAGTACAATGGATTTACAGGAGATTGTAAAGCCAATTCTTTCTCATAGCATATGGATCTTAGAGAAGGCCTGAATCCTTTGGTGGACTGACCAAAATGCTGATATAAATTTAAATAAATCACATAAATTGAAATAAAAAAGCACAAAATGTTTTAGAAAGAAATTCGAATGAGATAAAATCTGTTTTTTTTTTTTTTGTTTTTTGATAAAATCTCAATTTTTGTATAGGTTTTGTTTCTTTTTTAACTTTTATTGACCCACTTTGACAAATTTGGAATGTACAAGACTGGCCACTAGTGTAGACTTGAAATCAGTATTCTTCTTTTTAGAAGTGTAAAAGGGGTAACCATAAAAAATTCTCATTTATTTCTCAAGATAGGACTTCTGATTTTAAAAATTATAATTCTATCAAATGTAGCGCATCATTTACTGTAAGACTACATTCCATATTGTTAGAAGAATTATGATTGAAATTTCTCTGTATAATGTGTTCTTTCAGTCAGGTGACAGGAATCTCTGATTATAAAAGAGACAGTGATTTTTTAATCTTTTTAAGACATTTTTCTTTTAAAATTCCTTTAAATTTTCCTCATATTTTAAAACAAATAAAATGTTTGACAAAAACAATACTTAATTTAATTATTTTGGATAATTAATACATTTAAGTTGATTTATAATTCTGATATGAACAATATTTTTATTGCTTTTTTCATTTTTTTTTCTTGAAAATAATTATTTAATTTATTCTGTTATCAACCTTGAGTAAAATATATATTTATTTAGCAATGTTATTGCACACAGTCGTTATTGAACTATTTGCAACAGTTGTTTTCAAGGTGTGTTTGCTTGATACTAGATGCTAAATTAAATATTTTATAAATTATGGAGAAGTATATGGCTTATAAGACAAAATTGCTAAATAACAACCTTATCCTATAAGTTTTATTCATACTGAGTATGCCACAGTTACTGCTTTGTGCCAGAATTAGTTATGTAAAATATTTTACAAATTAATAGGACTTAACTATAACGGAATGGAATTTTAGAAATTCATATCTGTGAATTTTGCTGAAATCATAAGAAATGCAATGTCACATTCAGATTAAAACTGAATAAATATTTATCTTCTCATCAACAATGAATATCCAATATATAAAGGTAATAATTGGTTGATTTGAATACAGGTTGGCATAATTGAATTGTTAAGTTATTTTGGGTGAGCTTCTCATTATTTGTGACTTTCATTTACACTGCCAGAGATTTTGTTTTTAATGAGTCAATTATTGCCAAATTTTGAAAAATTTTATAAAACTTATTTTTTGTCTAGTCTCTAGATAAAAAATTGTTTTCGAAAATATAATTTGATGTTTTTTTCTTTACAGAAACTTTTAAGAAAATTTAGCTACATTTTGTTAGCTAATTATGATTAAAGAACATGTCAGTGTATTTGAAATGAAAAGTAGAAATAACAAAGAAGTTAGGGATGATATGACCATTGCTGATTGTCTTTGATCTCATTAATATATATTTATTAATAAACTAAAGACAAGTAATTACAAAATAAAGCGAAATGATCAGGTATGATAGGAAGTTGAAAAGTGATGTCATTGCAAAAATATCTTGTTTTAAAAGCAATTTTCTGTTATATTCTTGGAACTCTGAAAAGTGGATCAAGCCAATATCAAATATCCACACAGATCTGAATCTGAGTGAAAGTTAAGTTGAATCAGTTTGCATGGTACCTATAATAGAAATAGTTTGGATTCATGTTCAGTCACATGAGAGCAGCCAGACAAAACTTGTAACTGATAATTATTTGAGCTACTTTCTATGGTTTTTTGATGTCATTACACTTCAGGAATTATTCAGACTGTTGACCTCATTCTTTTTGTTGTTTTTGTTATTACCACAATTCAGCCAATTGATTCTATGACCTTCTTTGTACAATACATATCAAAAGAGGGAAGGCTTTTTTTTTTCTTTTTTTTTTTTTTGTGGGGCAAGAGAGAAAAACGTAATATGGTAGCATAAAGAAAAGAAACGGTAGAAAATAAGTTGACCAGACCAACATATTCACAGCATTGTATATAATACAAGTGATTTTAATTTCATTAATTTTGGCTAGTAATGTTTTCATTTTAATTTTTTAATTGCTTTTTATTGCAATCTTACATAGGGTGCCGGCCTACAGCAGCAAGCAAACACTATTGACTAGAAATAATAAAGGACAAGTCAAGCAACAAAAAATATTAAGATGAAAAAATTACTAGTCAGAGTTAATAAAATGAAGGAGTTACAATTTTTCATCTAAAAATAAAGATAATACCATAATTAATATAATTGTTACTAATACTACAAGTGTAAACACAAAACGCATATAGTGCCAATTTTTAATGTCATGTCCTTTCAGGATGTAGGTGATCATGAATCTCCACAGGTTCTTTATTATATGTGAATTGCCATACATAGTAGAGTAGCTCCTTGTTGCCTTCTCCACATTTTGGAATTAAGTTTTCCTTGATTGTTGAGTTTTTAGTAGATCAGATAATGAGAGCAGCTGATATGGTTAAACAGGCTTCCTTAAGGCAAAAAGGACATGAGTTTACTTTTTATTATTTCTAATTCTGTTTTCCTATTCCTTAGACTGACAACTTGAGTAAAGTAGAAATAAAAAGCAATGAAAAAAAAAGACTGCTTAAAATTAATAATGATTGACAATGCTTCATCTACAAATAAAGATAAGTTGTGATTTTAATTTTGTTTAATTATGCATGATGTTACCCTTTAGTCATTTTCACTTTTGTCACCCTCTTGTGATGTTCTCTTTTTATGAGTCGGGGTGGGTAGAAAAGTTTTCAGCCTAAGAAACTCTTTCAAAAAAAATTTGGATGTTCGATCAGTTGGTTAAATTTTGTGAAGTGGCTCAAGAACTTTTCAACAATTTCCTCCTACTGTTTGAACTTTATCCTAAAGAAGGTAGTGAAATCTTATATTTCTATAGATCTTTTATGTGCTGTATCCCTTCAGGACATGGATGATCATGGTTCTTCACAACTTCCTATCCTTTGTAGCTTTTACCAATGTTTGTTTTTTTGCTATCTCCTCTAATTGCTATTCTGTCAACCATTTCCACAAGCTTGTTAGGTAGGTTATTTGTTGCTTTGCTCTGTCCCTCTTGCCTTCAACATATCCTGTGAGTATCACATTTTCCAAGACCTCTTTCCTCATTATGTCTTCTACAAATTTCAACATACTTTCTGATTCTAAGTATAAGTGTCTGTTTTGTTTCCATTTTCTCTAAAAACTTTTTCATTATTCACATGTTCAGTCCATGGTACTCTCAGCATCTAAAAATGTGAAGAAAATAAAGCCACATTTCTGTTGCTTCAAGTATTTTCTTTATCTGTGAGAAGATTGTCCAACATTCATTGCTATATAGGAATACTGATATTACATAAGAATCCAATATTCTTTTCTTTGTTTCTAATGAAATTTCCCTGTTTCTTAATACTTTTCAGGCATCTTTCACTATTCCTATGCACTTATGCAGGGATTTTGGTCTCTAATTTTTCATAATCTAATAAAACTTTCTTAGATATTCAAATTTTTGTACTTGCTTGATTTTGGTGTCTCCAATTTATAGTTTGCATATTGATTGGGCTGTTCCTTTTGCTGACAATACATTCTGCCTTCTTACAATTAATGTTAAATCATTTCTTCTTGCTTTCCTTTACTATCAATACGGTCATCTGCATATCTTATATTAAGATTATAGTAGCCAATAATGAATCCTGGTAGAATCACCTGACTGTAAAGGTTGAATAAGTTCAGTAAAAAGACATGTCCTTGTCTTATGCCTCTTTCTATTTTTGTATATTTACTGATTTCATTTTCTATCCTCATGCAGGCAGTTTGCTTCCAGTATAAGTTCTGGATTGTTCTAACATTCTTAAATATGTCAAGGCTACCTAGCAGTTCCAACAGTTTCTAACATACTTTATCAAATGCTTTTGCATAATCTGTAAAACATAGGTATACTTACTTCTGCATTTGTATTGTTCTTCCAGAAATAAATATAGCATTCCTTGTTTCAGTGTCTTTAATGAAATCACACTATTCTCATTCTATTTCTGGTTTAATTCTGCTACACACTATTTGTTAGACTAGTTGCATAACACTTTTCTACATCCACTTTGAATATAGCTTTCCAAAATAGGTATAGTCCATAGTCTATAGTCTAATGAGGAAATAACCATTTCTAGGAAATATTTAACTTTTAACATTATCTCCTTTCTTGTCAATGCACAGTAGTATGAATAAATTGTGGCATTATTTGAGCTGTTAAAGTTTCAGTCATTCTTATTATTCTTCTGAAATTATACCTCAACCATGGATCATTTTAAATGTTTGTCTGAAAGAGATTTCATCTTTATATTATTAATCTTAGATATATTTTGCCATATAGAATTTCACTTTAGAGGTCCTTGTCAACTTG